TCCAGCTAGGTCTGTCGGTCGAAAGCTACTCACCGAGCGTCGCTCCACAATTTGCGTCAATATACACCTTGCGCGCCATGACGCTACCTGAGCCCAAGGACTGGATCGAAGAAGAGAGCCGACGCCGCCTTTTCTGGATGATTTACGTCCTAGACCGGTATGCGACCGTTGCCACGGCTTTCGAATTCGCTCTCGACGAAAAGGAGATCGACCGTCGGTTGCCGTGTCGCGACGACATGTATGCGCGAAACGTGCCCGTCGAGACGCGATGGTTCCACACTTCGACAAGATCTGACTACAGCATGAACAGACCAGAAAACTTAGGCTCCTTCTCATACTACGTCGAAGTCCTAGGGATTCTCACACGCATCCACAAATTTCTCAAGAAGCCTGTAGACATTACATCCTTGTCCGACGTCGAGACCTGGCAAAGCGAGTATCGTGAGCTTGACAATGCCATCGAGCAATGGAAGTACAATCTTCCTCAAGAATTTGGCAACTCTGCGAGATTGTTTGCAAAGCCGGGTATGGGACAGAATTTGGACAGTGGTTTGGTGATGCTCCATGCGGCCTTCCACACGTAAGTTTGTCTTCCCTTTGCCTTCAGGAAGAAACTAACTCTGGCAGCACTGTGATTCGTCTTCACTCATCCGCGGCCTACCCTACCCATCGTTCACCCATATTCACACCGTCCTTCAGCGCTAGCCAGCGATGTCTCAGTGCTGTTGAGAATATCACAGCCCTTTGTGCTACCGTACGCGACAACGGTTTGCTGAGCAAACTTGGCCCGCCCTTCGCATTCTCGCTCTGGGTAGCCGCACGTGTTCTCTTGGTCCACGGATCCACCATCGATCACCGAGTCGATCAATCCATCAACCTCCTGGTCAGCACTCTCCAGGACATGGGTCAGTACTGGGAAGTAGGCACACGCTATGCAAGCCTTCTTTCACGCGTACTTTCCGAATATCAAGAGAGTCAGGACACCCCCGCTGGTGCGAATGGTGAACGCGTGACACCTTCAACCGTCAAGATCCTCGCCGACATGCGACGATGTGCATTCGATCTCGACTTCCTCATATCCCGTCAACCTAAGCTCAGCAACAAGCAAAATCTGAAGATACCATCGGTGACTCCAGCTCGAACACCTGCAGCTAATGAGCTAGAGTATCTCGATGTGTTCGACTTCTTCAACATGCCTCGACTCCCTGTGTCGATAGACGGAGCCATGAGCTACCCTGCGCCTGACGGCAACATACAATTACCTGACGGCGGGTTTGGAAACGAGTCGAATATTACCAACTATATGGTTGATGCGAGCTCAGATTGGTTCATGAAGCAGTCGGCATAATACTTCTTTTTGTGTCTTGGGTGCACGGAAAATGGACTGTAAAAGTTGGTTGATCTTTCGCTATATAATATTGCGTTTTGGACCCTGTTCATAGTCTTGTCCATACAATCTCTTCTTAATTTGAATGATACCCTATTTCATCTCTAACAGACTTGGCTATCTCATCACCAGTGATCCATGCATGCAATGAGTCCAAGCAGTCGATGTTCAGGTCCGTACCTGGGCGTGGCTTGTGTTGTACGCTTGTCCGGAACCGCTCATTCCGATCGGAACGCCATCGGTGCGTTATCTGCGTCCTGGCTCGGCCTCTGTAATCGACACTTGACAACACTTCTCACTGATCAAGCAATACTGTCGTTCGATTCGTCGTGATCTACGCGACTGCTTACGTGCTCTATTAAGCTTGCGTCGATTTGGCTTTTGTACAATACCGTGTAGAGAACTATCGCCGTTTACCGTCGGAATAGGCTGGTGAGGCTCGGGATAGCATACAAGGTATGGGTGAATCTTACTCCGCTGCACGGAACGTACAAGAACTCCGCCGAACCAAACATACAAGAAAGATGAGTCATTGACATTCATATAGCTCTGTGTAATCCTTGAGCATTTGATACCCAGACTAAATTCATCGAAGAACTCGCATTTCGGTCTGACCATCGTCAAAGCATCTCGTCATCATCACCACCCTCAAACATCTCGCATATCGAAGCTATCTATTGTCACCCAACCACCCATCATGGCTTCCCAAAAAGACCAACAACACATCGTCATCCTCGGCGCCGGTGTGATCGGTCTAACAACCTCACTCGCCCTATCCCACACCTACCCCACCGCCAAGATAACCGTAGTAGCAAAGCACTTCCCCGGAGACCGCTCGATAGAATACACATCTCCATGGGCGGGCGCCAACTGGTCTTCTATGGCCCACGACAATGGTCTGCTGGAGAAATACGACGAGGTCACCTTCCACCGTTTCGGTGAGCTCATCGACGGGAAAAGCGTGTTTGGTTGTCAGACCCTGAAGGCTGGTGAGACGGAAGGCGTCGATGGGGTAAATGGAGGAGGGAATGAAGCGGGGCTGGGGAGAATGGGTATGCGGGCTGCGTTCGACGAGCCGATTGAAGAGGCGGGTGTTTTGACTGAAGAGACCGGTAAGGTGTGGTACGATCAGTTAGTAGGCGGGTTGAGGCAGTTGGATGGTAGTGAGCTGCCCAAGGGAGCGAACTTTGGGTTCGAGTTCCCAAGTACGTTCAGGATCAACACGCAAGTGTATCTGCAGTGGTACGTATTCCTGATCCTCATTCCCAGGATGCAAAGTCCTAGCTTCAGTGCCATTGATACTTCGCAAGACTGATATTGTACCAGGCTCCAAGCTCAAGCCCTGTGCAAAGGCATCACTCTCGTACGCCGACACTATCCTTCTGTCTCAGAAGTCTTAATGGACCACCCATCCACCACCCTCCTGGTAAACTGCACCGGTCTCGGCTCCCTCAAATTCTCCGACATCAAGGACACGAATCTGTACCCAACACGTGGTCAAACACTACTGGTCGCTGAACCCAAAACGCCAATCACCAGAATGTATGAAATGGAACGAGTCAAGTACGACAATGCCATCCTACTTGCCTTCCTCCGCCCCAGACCCGACTATTTTCCGTGTATCCAGTTTGACTAACGAACCAAACTAGGTCTTTCCGCTCTCCGAAGCGCATCGATCCCACGACAACCTACGTCTTCCCGCGTCCGTTGGGCGGCGGCGTGATTCTAGGTGGCAGTCGACAGGACAACGACTGGAGTGAAGAGTGGGATGAGGAACTTGGTCAGGATATCATGAAGCGGTGCTGTGAGTTGTGTCCTGAGTTGGGGAAGCCGGAGGATCTGCAGGTTATTGGGCGGAATGTGGGCTTGAGGCGTAAGTATCGTCGTGAAAGTCATTTCATGGGGGCTGGCTGACAGTGTCTAGCCTCGCGCAAGGGCGGCCCAAGGATTGAGACGGAAATGGGCAGGTGGAAGGTCCCGGTTGTGCATTGCTATGGACATGCTGGGGCGGGATATCAGTCTTCGTGGTGAGTACATTGAAGCTCGTCTGTGTCGACAGTACAATACTAATGTTTCTCGCAGGGGCACCGCCGAGCGCGTCCTTGAGCTCGTTCAGAAGACGCTGACGCCCAGCTCGAAGCTATGATCGCTACACCAGATACTCTTAGTTGATCCAAATCAGCTTTGACTTCACTCAGCCAACTATCATTCCAACTCCACTCATGCCTATTTCGCCATCTTCTCTTCTTTCCTCCCCTCATCCCTACTATTCCACTCCCGATCAAAAACCTGCAAACTCCTCTGTGCAGTAGGCACGACATCCAACGCCTTCACACAAACCCTATCCTTCTGACCTAGCATGAACGCAGCCGCCTCCGCAACATCTGGCGCAACAAGAGGCTCGAAGCCCGACATGAAAGTGTCGTAGCTCTGCTTTTCGTATCCAACACTGCATGTCTTGTTAGCTCGGAACTCCATCGCTGCGCTGAAATAATGAAGAAGGGAATGAAGCCATACCGTTGTTCGTGGAAGTTTGTTGCTACAACACCGGGCCGTAACGCGAGAATTTTGATATCAGTACCCACCAACTCCGTTCTCAGCACGTTTGTGAAAGCCTCCTGGCACGCCTTGCTAGCATGGTAGACAGCCTCGCCTGGGAAAGGTGGTACTTCTAATCCCGTGGTGCTGGTCACGTTCAGAATCGTTCCCTTGCCACGCTCCTTCATCTTTCCCTCGTTCAAAACCGTATAAGCAGCGAACATGTACCCATTGATGTTGGTGCTCGTCATTGTGATGATGTCTTGGATCTTGAGGTCAGGGAAGCGTGACGGCGCACCTATAGCCAAACCGGCGTTGTTGATTAGAACATCGATGTGGGAGACTAGCTGGACGACAATTGAGACGGCGGTGCTGAGTGATGTGTGGTCTTGTACGTCGACGACTGATGTGAAGACCTTCAAGTCTTTGTGTTCTTTCTTGAGTTCGTCGGAGAGGGCGTTTAGCTTATCGCCTGAGCGTGCAAAGAGGATGAGCGTTGCGCTTTCAGCGGCTAGTCGGCGCGCAATAGCTGCGCCGATGCCCATCGATGCCCCTGTGATGAGGACAGTTTGGTCTTTGAGTGACATGGTAAGGGATAGCAGTATGAGGATGAGATGGATGGATGAATTGAGATAACAGTTCACTTGATGTGAACCCTCGGGACAGTTTTGTTACGACTGACCGTGAGAAGACGATGAGAATGACAATGATTACACAGGGAGTACATGTGCGGAGGATGAACATGCTAGTAGGCTTTCGGTGGAGCAAGAATGACGTCATCAGCATCGCATTTGTCATCTACGAATGGTGTCCGATGTGTATAACACGTTGCATTGGGTGTGTAGTAAATATAGTTCATAAGGGTATCTCTGTAAACAATCATTCTGATAGCATCAGTCATGTAACAAATCAAAGGTCTCAGGCGTTGACTTACAATTCGTATCTGGCATTACCATCGCAGCGCGAGTCCGTATCTTGTGATGCGCGCAACTTCCAGTCGCTTATGCTTATGAGCTTTAGACTTGAAATAGTCGAGGCATATCGAAGAGTGTTGTTGGCTGTTCGATCGAAATCATCAACCATCCCACCTCTGCGCCTCTTTGTTGTAGCCGATGAGCTTGAGGTCGATGTTAAGGGTCTTGAGCATCATGTCCATCGTGAACGACTGCTTCAACATTAGTATAACGACTTGCATGTACACATCCGTGCACTCACATCATCGTCTGCTCCCTTAAACGTCTCCTTCTCCTCCTCTCCTTTGTCCCTCTCCGAATCCATCTCGGCGTAGCGATCATACGCTTCTTCAGAGACCTCACCACTCTCTTTCGCCTCCTCCATCTTCTCACGTTCCGCCTCCATCTCTTCTTTATCCCATTGCATCTGCCGTTCCTTGGATTCTTTTTCACGTTCCTTCCATGCGCCTACCCCGCCCATTCTGTTAACCCTGTCTCTAGTGCTACCAAACAGCTCTTCCGCCGCCGCACGACTTGCTGTACGCCATTTGTCGACCAGTACGACCAGGTCGTCATCCTTTGTAGACGTTGCCAGGGTCTGAGCTTGTGTAAGCATCTGGATCTCATTGCGGATTTGCATGATCTCGCGTGCGACCGAGGGTTTCGACGGTGCCTTCTTCGACGCGACACGTGACGGGGTAGATAGGTTCGGACGTGAGACGAGAGGTTTCGAGACACGTGGTGTCACCTTAGACGTTGCTGGCGTTTTGGGGGGTTGCATAGAGGCGGTACAGGTGGCCGCTTGCTGTGCGCCATTGCCTGCAGGGGCGGTACTTCTAGCAGGAGCGATGGTTGTCCTAGGTGTATCAAGCGCAGGAGTGTGGACCTCAGGCGGATCTGAGGATGGCGGGTCGTCGCCTATGCTGGGCTTCAACGGTGTGCGGAACGGCGATTTGAACGGCTTCTGGAGCGTTTTCGTGGCTTCGTTCAGCCGGCGACGTTTCGCTTGCGGGGTCGACATCTTCGCGGGTGTTTGGGCATTGGTGTGGGTGGTCAATTCTCGAAGTGGGGGGGGTGGTGAGTGTCTTGAGACTGGCGATGTCATCTGTCGCTTCTGATTGCGGATGGTCTGACGCGTCGCGCTAGAGCCTCGTCATCACGTGTCCATCAGGGTGTCTTTTCTAGGAACTGACGACCAGCAACTCTATCAAATCAGGTAGGTACGCAACTCATACGCGTTTTATGATAGACTCAATTTTTGGGACGAACGAACGTTGTATTGTGATAAGCACCATGATCTAAGCATATACATAGCACAGCGGCCCCGAGGTAGTAGAGAAGAACTCCTTGCTCGCGATGTGGTTCTGACCTGGCGGTGCCACCACATCCAACTCCTGCTGATCTGTCGGTTTACCTTTGGGACTGTTGGGTATCGACCAATGGGTGCCGCCTTCGTACATGCTTGTGCGAGACTTGACCTCCTTCTCTTGATACATGGCCCACATCCACCAGTGCCTGTCCAGCTGACCATGATGCAACCAGAAGGCTGGCTCCGCAGGGCTCACATAGACATCGCCTCCAGGATCACCCCAGATAGAGAAGTGACCGCCAATGTGCAACGCTGAAAGGCTGTTCGTCGCGTTGGTCTGGAGTGTGTCCTGGAAGGTACCAATGGCCTTATTGGTGGTGATATGGAATAGAAGATCTTGAGGCCGGAGGTAGCGCTCGGTGAAGAAGTTGCTTACGTCGCGACGGTGGCAACGTGGATTGTCACCATAGCCATCGGCGCGTGGGTTTGGTGGGATGTTGAGTTTAGGGTCCATGGTGGGCGCGAGGGGACCAAGACGAATGGTCAAATTGGTGAAAGGACCTTTACTGATACAGCCTCCTCCGGGTCCACCAGGAAGCGTCTCACCCGGCCATAGACTCATGCCTGCATGCGGTCCGATTGGATCACCATTCCCACCCATGCTCCATTCGTCGCCGTTGAAGATGGGGCTGTTAACGAGATCGGTGTACTTGGCCCAGTCCCAGTAGGGTCTGTGATGAGTAGGCGAGGTTAGTGTATGCTTTACACAAGATCTAAAGAAGAATACTCACTGGTAGCCTTTGTAGCCACATTCCGTGCGAAGCGCTGTTTCGTAAGCCCATATGTAGTAACGGTGCCAGTGCATGAAGTTTGCGGTGGCGTGAACCGTCGGTGTCATGTTCATATGCACCACAACAAAGTCTTCATAGCGAGACTTTGCTCCAGGATATTGACCAGCAGGAAGTTTGGAGGGCGCCTTGAGCATGCAATTGACGGCCGTGGTGTATGCTTTCCGTTCCTCTTTCGTGAGGTCGCCGCTATCGTGTGTTAGCATCATGACCGTGGCAGTGCCCAAATTTACTTACAACTCTTTGCGTACAGCAACAGTGTCCTTGTTACATGTCGCAGGCCTCGTCAGACCGTCTGACAGCGTCCCATCCAGTACCTTGTATGCATTTGCGAGAGCTTGCTTCTGGACGCCGTCGAGGGTAAGCGTGTCTTGCCTCTGAGTAAAAGGAGATGCTGAAGCGCTAGAGAACAGAGACAGAGATGCCACAAGGGCCTTGACAACCGCAATGCCTGCCATCGATTGATTTCTGGCGATTCAGCTAAGTGCGGATCTCAATGCTTTTATGTCGAGCACCATGATCAGCCTCCTTCTCCAATGCAGGCCAACATCAACCGTGCCATACTACTGCATGTGCTGGGTCATTTATTTAGAGGGTTGCCCGACGTGGGGCGAAGTTCTACAAAGCTCTGCTGTAATGAACACCCTTGGCATGCAACACACGTACCGACGAAATACTGCTGTGCAAGGGTGTTCCAATATCATGACTATCTCAACGAACAGCCATTCCTGTTCATGGGGTCTGCAGCATGCCATTCATGGTGGCCACGAGTGGTCACAGAGTCCATACTTTTGATGTCCAAGACCTGAGCTGCATCTGACCGCGTTGATGAGCGGCAGTCAACTGGAAGCGGTCAGCATCCTTGTATGCAATGTAAGGCGCCTGGTCAGGACTGTGAAATCAACTCCGATTTACTTTGAGATCGAGCTTTCCCCGTAATAAGCTCTAAAGGTTGTTTCTGTTGTGCGATGGCGAAGACCCTCGTGATACCTCGTCTCTTAGGTTGAAAGTGTCGAAAGCTACAAACAGGTTCAGACCAAGCGCCCGAAGCTCTTGATGTTCGTGGTCAGCGTACAAGTATGTGCCATTGGCAACAGGAAGATCGTCGTTGCCGTTATTCATCCCTTGCAAGCCAGATAGTCCCAACCGGACAATATGGCGTATGTAATACCGGCTATGATACCCCTGGTGTTCGGTAGGATTCTGCCGGGCGCAAGGTGTGTTTGCCAAGCTTGTACATGTTTCGATGAAACTGTAGGACATCAACATTGATTACTACTCAGTACACCTGAGGTGGTGGTATTCGTCAGCTGCGCCACGTAATTCTGCATCGAGGCATTCGCAAGGAGATGCGCGATACCTCATATAATGCACAGCGCGGCAGACTCTCCGGTAGTGTTCGCGTGTATGGAGGCGCATGGCGCTTGCTGAAAATGCATGCCGACGGAGGCTTCCATCAACTTCGCGCCATGCGTAAGAAGCCGGCCATTTATCTTCTCGTGAAAACTGGTGATGCTTAAGTAGATCAGCTTGGGAGAGCTTCGGCGACGTCCTTGGCGTCCAATTCGATTGATTGAAGGATCAGGATCCCTGGCGGTGCGTCGCCTTCGAACGAAAAGCACATCGAAGTAGATGGTAGATGGGGCGTATGCTTACAACCGGACGGAACACGGCATATGCCGAGGCCTGTCCTTGCTAGATTCAGATACTGTTGAACAAGTGTGGCGTGCGCTGTTGGATCGGGCTGCTAGCAAACCTAAGCAGAGCGGCGGAGCGGCGGAGCGTATTGAAATGGGATGAGATGAAGATTGATTGAATACTAAAAGTGGGCGGCGAAGCCGCCCCTATATGCCAGCCACTAAGGTAGCTAGGAACTAGCCACCTAAATATTTAAATTCTAATACTCCCTCTTAGAATTTAACAATTCTGTGCTACTATTAAGGCTAGGCAGCCTTATTAAACTCTCTAAACTTTATAGAAAAAAGAGAGAAGAGTACTATCTATTACTCTAAGTTTAGCTAGAACTTCTCTATTTCTCTAGCCTAAGAGCTGCTCTAAAGCGCTTAAAGGCGACTTGCTATAAAAGCTTTGTAAGCCTATTAGCTACCTAATTAGCTATTAAAATATACTCTAGCGCAATTGTACTAGCCTCTTAAACTTCTCTAGTATAGTGCTATTAAATATTAATGTACTTAGATCTAGCGTAGTTGTTAGAGTTACTAGCTAGCGCAATTGCGCTTTAGTTGTCTGCCTTAATAGAGGTTGCTAGTAAATTTAGCTTTATAATTTAAAATTTAGCTAGTAGTTCTCTTAGCTAGATAGCTTTCTTAGTAGCTTAGGTCTAACCTATGTACTTAGCTTTGTATAATAAGAGGGCGATAGTGTACTAGCGTTTTAAGCTCTAGCTAATAGCTACGCTTTCTAAATTAAATGTATAGCTAGAGGTAGAGCGCTACTTTTCTAGATTACTCCTCTAATTAGCGTCTGTGTAGCCTTAGAGAGCCTATAATTTACTCTTATAGACTAGAACTAGCTTGTTAGTACTTTTAAGGTACTGCTAAAGGTGCTTTATAGTAGCGTAATAATTCTCTACTAAGTTAGCTATATAGTAGCTAAGACAGCTTATAGTAAAGGTAATGTTAGGTCTTGTACCTAGTATTAGGTATATAAGAGATTCTATAGCCTTCTAGTAGCGTTTAATATTAGGCTTTAGAGTCTAAAAGCCTTCTAGTCTAGGCCTAAGGTAGCCTTCTATAGAGGTGCTGTTAGAGCTGTACTTAGCTATACTAAAGTTATCTAAAATCTTAGCTAAATAGCTAGCCTATAATAGTCTAAGAGTTCTGTTAGAGTAGTTATAGATAATCTCTATGCCTAGGTAGAAGTAGCATTTACCTAGGTTGCTTATTTTAAATCTAGCTAAAAGAGTAGTCTTAAGTACTAAGATTTTATCTAAGCTTACTCTAGTAATAAGAAGGTTATTAACGTAGATAGCTATAAACAGAAGGCCTTTAGCGAAGATTTCTAGGTCTAAGGTAGTAGAAAAGAAGCCTTGCTCTTTTATAAAATTAGTAAGAGTGTTATACTAGATTCTTAGGCTCTGTTTTAGTCTATATAGAGCTTTACGTAGGTAATAGAGCTTCTCTTTACTACTTTTAAGCTTATAGAGAGGTTTAATAAATATCTTAGTGTTAATATCTTTATAGAGAAAGGCTGTCTTAACGTTTATTTAGTAAATCTCTAGGTTTATAGTAGTAGTAATAGCGAATAGTACCTTATAGCTTATAGGCTTTACTACTAATGTAAATATTTTGTAGTAGTTAATGCCTTTTTACTACTTAAAGCTTCTTACTACTTAGTAGGTCTTATAGCGCAAGACTTTGCCTTAGAGGCCTTTCTTAATCTTAAATACCTACTTGCTGCCTAAGGCATGCTAGGTTACTTTAGGTACTATATTCTAAGTCTTATTAGCTTCTAGTAATGTAATTTTATTATTAATAGCTGCTAACTAGAAGAGCTAGTGTAGGCTCTAGCAGGCTTTCTTATAGGTTTAGAGCTTACTATTCTTAATAGCTATAAGAGCAATACTATATTATTAGCCTAAGCAAGTTTTAGCTAGCTCTAGAAGCTGTAGTTTAGAGTAACGTTCTAGAGTGTTAGTAGAGATAATGTAATCTAGTTTACTACTATTACTAGCTAGAGGTGTTAATAGTAGTGTTAACTATGCTAAATTCTAGAGCTTTTTAGGCGTTGTAAATTTAAGATTCTGTAGGTTACTAGGTAGTATAGTAACTTCTCTAGCTTCTAAAGCTAGGCTAATAGGTAGTATAGTAGAAACTTCTCTAGCTTCTAAAGCTAGGCTACTAG